GGATCCTACACCATGATCAAGTGGGATTTATCCCAGGGATGGAAGAATATTTTTAATATCTGAAAATCAATCAATGTGATCAACTACATTAACAAATTAAGTAAAAACATACTGTCATCTCAATAGATGCAGAAAAAGCTCCTGATAAAATTCAACAGAATGAATGAAAAAGCTCTCCAGAAAGTGGGCTTGAGGGAGCCTACCTCAACATAATGAAGGAGATATATCAAAAGCTCACAGCTAATATCATACGCAATGATGAAAAGCTGAAAGCTTTGGTGCTAAAATCACAAATAAGACAAAGATGCTCACTCTCACCACTTCTGTTAAATAAAGTACTGGAAATCCAAGCCACAGCAATCAGACCAGGAAAAGAAACAAAAGGGATGCACAATGGAAGAGAAGAGGAAAAACTGTCATTATATGCAGATGACATGATACTACATACAGGAAACCCTAAAGGCTATATACAACAAATACTAGAGCTAATGAAAGAATTCGGCCAGGTAGCAGGATACTAGGTTAACATATAGAAACCAGTGGCATTTCTTTACACTAACAATGAAATATCTGAAAAGGAACGTAAAGCAACAATCCCTTTTAAAATTACATCCCCCAAAATAAAATACTTAGGAATAAATCTGACCCTTGAGGAAGTGAAAGACTTATATGCAGAGAACTACAGAACACTGACCAAGGAAATTAAAGATGACTTAAAGAAACGGAAAGATATCCCATGTTCTTGGATTGGAAGAATTAACATTCTTAAAATGGCCATACTACCCAAAGCAATCTACACATTTTACGCGATCCCTATCCACTTACCCAGGACATTTTTTACAGAACGAGAACAAATAGTGGTAAAATTTATATGGAATCACAAGAGACCCAGAATTGCCAAAGCATTACTGAAGGAAAGGAATGAAGCTGGAGGAATAACCCTCCCAGACTTCAGACCTTACTACAGAGCTACGAAACAGCATGGCATTGGTACAAAAACAGACATATGGGTCAGTGGAACAGAACAGAGAGCCCAGAAATAAACCCACCAACTTTTGGTCAATTACTCTTTGACAAAGGAGGCAAGAACATACAGTGGAGAGTAAAGACAGTCTCTTCAGCAAATGGTGTTGGGAAAATTGGACAGCAGCATGTAAATCAATGAAGTTAAGAATACTCCTTAATACCCCCATGCCCACGCACAAACACACGCACACACAAAACCTCAAAATGGCTTAAAGACCTAGACGTAAGCCAAGACACTATAACCCTCTCAGAAGAAAACATAGGCAAAACATTCTCTGACATAAAATCTCAGCAGTGTTCTCCTAGGGCAGTCTACCCAGGCAATAAAAATAAAAGCAAAAATAAACAAGTGGGACCTCATTCAACTTACAGGCTTTTGCACAGCAAAGGAAACCATAAGCAAAACAAAAAGACAACCTACGGAATGGGAGAAATATTGG